AACTACATGTACCATCAGACCTTGGCTCTAGAGGGCGGTGTACCATTAAAGTGCACAAGAGAAGTGCACACCGTAGCCATAGCAACATATAAAACAGAGAAATTATTTGAGCCTTTCCTGTATAAGAAATTCAGCTTAGTGAGGTGAGTTACGTTTTATATCTCTGAAAACAGTTGAAAACAGATTTAGCTGTTAAATGGATTTTTTGGCAAATTTTTTAGCCGTGATGGCTAATAGTTCAATGTTACAAACTAGTTTTAACCTATTGCAAGGCACTTATTTGAACATATACCAACATACAAACTCATCTGTGAACACTGTTCAATTGAATACATAGAAATATATGATTACCCAGTAGACATAGGCATATGGGAGCACTGCTCTTTATTTAGCTTAGAACTCCATCCCCCCCCAAAAAAAACATGCAATATCAGCAAACATAGGTGGACAAAAATACTAGCTAAAATTTAAGCAGAAAAAATGCTTAAAAATGCTTGTTTCTTGTTAATATTACATAAACTGTGTTAATGCATAGAATACAAAATGAACTACATGTATATAAAAGTTCCCAAGAGTCAAGTAAATTGCATGAGGGCGCTAGGCATTACAGGCAGGGTAAAAACTGTGCTACTATTTCAAAATATAATTTTACTCGTTTATAAGCAGTTTCACAGAAAAATAATAGTGGTTGGATAAATTTAATTAAAGTGCTGAATGGAAAACAAAAAAACAGATTGATAGTCACATGTATTAGGTTTACAGAAGTCTCAGAAGTAATGGGGTAGCCAATTTGCAAACTCGCTAGTGAATTGACTAACTGCTTTGGTTTTGACTAAAACAGTTGGCTTTTGAATCTGGCTGGCGCTGTCTCTGGCTGAAGTTTAGACTGTACAGACACCATTTTAGATAGACATTGGTGTTACTTAGGGCTGTGTGATAGTCTTGTCGTAGGAACATTATTATTAATTGTACAAGACACAAGTGCAAAACTTCACTTTGTGGTTTGAAACAGTGCTAAAATATAATAATTTATTTTACCAGCACAATATGGTGACAAATACCACCCCTCTGTTGTACAACATCTACTGAATTTGTTATGTTTTATAGTGGAACTGTGATTTGTTCATACTGTTGAGTTCATTTCATTTTAGACAGCATTAAATCATAAACCTAATATCCATATCTACTTCACAAACATTTTTCAATTAATTTTAATGACGGGGTAAGTTTCCTTTTATTCTACGCTGTCAACACAGCAGAGCTGTTCATATTACTGATTGTCCGTCGTCGTCAACTTTACAATTTCAACTTCTTCAAAATCGTAAGTCAGAATGTTTTCAAATTTTATATGCAAGTACCTTGGATGGTTCTTTCTTTCATATCAAAATCTCAAATTCTCTATTTTTGGTGAATATTTTGTCATTTTTGGTAAAAAGTGATATTTTCGACTTCTTGTTAAAAAACGCAAATCCGATTGCTTTGATATCACATATCTATGTACTACATGTGGACCTCTCTCAGATTTGTCCATTTCGTGATGATATATTTAATTCTCTAATTTTGATGAATATTTTTGTCGTTTTTGATAAAAAAGTGATATTTTCGACTTCTTGAAAACCGCAAGTCCAATTGCTTTTATGTTATACATATAGGTACCTCAGGTAGACCTCTCTCAGATTTGTTCATTTTGTGATATCTTCAATTTTCTAATTTTGATGAATATTTTGATAAAAAGTTATATTTTCGAATTTTTGCTCAATTGCTTCAGTTCTTTAATTGAAATGTGCATTGCTAACAGCAGTGCTATCTCAACAGTCTGCTTGTCTTTACTAGGTGGGACTGTATGAGATTTTTCCCCACATTTGTTAATTATTCTGTGTTACTACAATGTGTTTTTTAACAGTTTCCCTCTATGTGTCACACTCTCTCAGAACAGTGTATCCATGTTCATTTACTTCCACAAAGGTCACTTAGACTCAACTTATGCCTCATTAAAATAATTTCTTTTTCCACCCCGGAGAAAACAAATCATAATTTAACGTGACCTGCAAAAACAAATGTTGGATACCAGATTGGAGAATGTTTATAGAAGTTGTTTTGAGCACTTTTGTGGGCTCTCCACTCATGCAGCTGCCCAAACAAAATATTAATTTTTGCATTAAAATCATGTACAATGTTATTTTTACCAGAACAATATGTTCCGTCAAATTATACCAAAAATTACACTTTCAGGACGTTTTGAGGTTTGCCCTAAGCTTTTCGGTTTAATGTTTCTTAATCTCATTTTTAAAAAAGTTCACAAAACTGACTTAACATACTTATTTTTATCAAATCATTCCACAATTAAGGTCATTCTTTGAAAGATTCTCCTACAGAATAACCAAAAAGAAATGTAATTTTCATCTAGTAATATTTCTAATTTATCCTCACTTTTGTGGGATGAAAGCTAGGTTGTGAATTTTAAAAAGTATGCAAATTTAGGTAGTAATGACCAGCCAGTTAATATCAGTCTATAATTCCAGCTACCTGTATAATAAAATAATTCACGGCATGAAATGCATTTAAACAAATAGCGCCACCTAGAGTCAAAATGAATTAACTAAATGTTATATTATAAAGTCTGAACACAAAGTATTCAGGTCCAACTACAATTTAAAATAAATGCAATGTTCAGCTGCTAGGATATTTGACCATGTCTAGGATTGAGTATCAATTAGCATGAGACTGCAATAGACTTTTGGTTGATCTGGGATTTTTAACAAGTGTTCATCCATGTTATGCTTTAAGGGTGTTATGCTGTCGTCTGTCATGTCCAGAATAAGATTTGATAAACTATTGAACAGTTTAGACCAATACACCATTCTTCACTGACTTAATAGTTTGCCTATACATAGTATATTTGGGATCTTAGTAAGGCATTTTTTATCTTAACACTGGGTATATGTATCTGAAATTAATTTTATTCACACCATACAATGTTACTTTAAAGTATAACAATAATAACTACCAGATACTTATATTTTGTTTGTTTGCTTATTTGTAAGTTTACCCAAAAAATACAGTTTGAGAACATATAGGGAAATTAAAGTGTATTTAAAGTAATCGCTTCTAAATTATTAATGAATCCCTACAAAATGGCAGTGCTCACACTTTGTTATGAACAATAGATGCAGTTTATTGTTGTGAGTGACAAAAAGATGTTTTGACTAACATCAGTTCTGAGAATTCAATTTTTATTTCTTCATAAAACACTCCAGGAGTAAAAATGAAATTATTTTGACAGTTATATACAATATAGATGGACCATTACTGTCTACTTATGCTGTATACCACTGCCCCAAGTGCAGACAATGTTTCTTCATTTTAAATATTGACTGTCGTTTTTACTATTTCTTAAAAACAATCATAAACTGAACTATACAGAGCAAGGTGACATAACATTGATGTCATGTACTGATTAATTAAATGGAAATGAGATGCACATTATAAATATTCCAAGTTCACTTATTTCATATGCCAGCATTGGCATAGTTCCTTAAAAGTACTCATCTCAATAATTAAAAAAATGTGACAGATTAAACACCATAAGACAATTCACAGCAGGGGTGGGGTTTCATCTATCGCAAATACACAACGATGGAGAATGGTCGCTTCTATCTCAACCAGAGTTTCAATCTTAGTGCATCTACACCGTTCAAGTAATAGCGAAATAAACGCTTGTCTCTGACAAAGCCAAGGTTTTCATACAACTGAAGAGCAGATTTATTGGTGATTTCTGTTTCCAAGACAACCTGAAAAAAACAACATGAAATGATAAATTGTTGGGACAAACCTCACCTAAGTAAAATGCGACTGATAACAATTTCAATTAACAGAAAATACTTGGGTTGGCAACCCCTAAAAAACCCACACCCATTGTGGTGTTTTTAAATGTATGTTGACATAAACTATGTCACAAAAGTATATTAATGGCTGAATTAAATGTAAACAGAGGTTATATAATAAACAGAGGTAACAATAAATTCAAACATACAGTATGATAACCAACATAGAGGGCGCCTTACCTCATCACACTGACCTTCCAACATGGCATGGATGGCTTTCCTCACCAGACTGGAACCTACAATTAAATCATTGTTTTTAATAGATTACGACTGAATTTGTCATGTTTTCAGTATTAATCACATATTCTATATATATATAATGGAAAACATACAAGTCTGCTTATTGTGCCCTTCACTATCTATCTGTGAGATGATAAACATCTTTAATTCTTAGGTAACTTTTAGGAACAATTCCCAGTTTCTTTTTCAACAGACACATCTTTGTAGATAATATAATATAACTCTGCTGTTTGTGATACATAGTCTGAAAGCAATCTGATTCACAGTACAGGAGAAGCTGCATTGCAAATATTGTCATAAAGGAAGAAGATGAAAATAGAAAATTTCGAAGCTCAATGTGTCACCGGGTATATCTATTTTCTGTGACTAAAAATTCAGCATGAAATAGTCAATAATTACCAATTTTTCTTCTTCTGTAATTTTCATCAACAGCTAACATTGCAATGTATCCTCTTTTAGTCATTTTCTTATGCACATCTAATTTACAAACAATAGCACCGACACATATATCACCACACATAGCCTGTAATAAGAAGGAATAATTAAAAAATACTACTATCAAACTGGTAATTACTAATACAATTTCCATAAAGATCCGGTGTGGTGCATAATAAACAATGAACACAAGACTATTTGCGTACAATTAACCTGTCAAGTCACATTTAACATCTCGAACAATGATTATGGGCGTTATTTTTTTTTGTACGAACACAAGGAAGCAAAGTGTTAAAATATCACGTCAACGTGGTTGAGAATGGTTGATGTAATCAACAGGACAGACGACAAACCACCAAGTCACATTAACCCAAATCATGGGAAAGTCTGAGTAGACAGACAGTGTGAAAATTGGGGGTTTGGAGAGCGATAAATAAAGCCTGATTTTACAGAAGCACTAAATCTCAGTTTTGACATCACCATGTTGAACACTTGCACTAAACGCTGTGCCTTGTCACTTGACTGCAAGTTTGAAATGATTCAAGCTATCACATTTAAACCTGTGTGTGACTAGGCTGCGCCCGTTCAAGATGATTCAAAGATGACTGGGTGACATCTTCACTACCTAACTTGCTCGAAGCGTACCACCCGAAAAAATATGCTCAACAAGGTTTGTTTTTTCGACTCATGAAACATGAAACTGGCGGTAAATCGGTAAATCAAAAAGGTGTTTATAAAAATGTGAACTTGGATACCCTTCCTGTCGACTACGCAGCAAACAGAAAAGCCCGGATGAACAGTGATTTATTTCGAGGCTGTCTTCATAAACAAGGCAGAAAATTCATTCTTAAAAAACAGAAAGTGCTGATGTTTGTAGACAACTGTCTCGCCCATCCTGTTGTCAGCAATCTGACATCAATCACACTTGTGTTTTTGACGCCAAACACAACGTCAAAATTTCTTCTTCTGATTTTGTCACTGTCGACGAAGAGATTGATGTTTGTGAAATTTCCACAGAAGATGACATTGTTGAATTGGTGACCGCTGATAGATGCAAAGAAAATGTTGAAAATGTTGAAAATGCCAATACCGCTTCCGTTTTAGACAATGTGCCGACTTCATCACAAGCACTAAATTGCCTTTTCAAGCTCAGAAAACTATCTCCAGTCGCATAATAACGTTGACATTAAAATGTTTAGTAAGCTTGCAGCTGTTAAGGACATGCTGTTTTCTACAATGTGTAATCACCGACAGGCGAAAATCACAGACTTTTTCTAGGTTGTCTGAAACATTCTTGCCACCAGTGAGAATTAGTTTTGCCATGCCCAAATTTAATTCAAAATTCATGTTCTGTGTAATCAATATGTAACTGTTTCAAATAATTGTGAATAAACCTTGTACATGCATGTGAACACTTTCGCAGTGTATTAAAACGTCCCCTAGGGATAATTGGTTATAACGAACTATAGTTATAATGAACTGTTCACATTGGTCCAATGTTTTTCGTTATAATGAGGTTTGACTGTACATGGGGACAGAGATCAACATTTAAAAAAAAAAACCACTATCACTTTTGGCATAAAGGAAATTGCATACAGGAACGTTTTTCTAATTTCTAAAAATCATTCCTTTCACACTAAGAGGCAATTTCAAGCAATAATTTCCTCAATTTTACCGCAATGCTTGGTAGTTGGACACTCACAATAAGTTATTCTTTTCCAGTAAATGGTATTTCAGTGAATAGTTTTTAACTAAATGTCACAGACCCATACATGTGAACAAAAAATATTTGACAACTTACCAGGAAACATAAATCAGGCCAGTTATGTATAAAATATCTATAGGTATAGATTGAATATGGTTCTGAAAGGTCTTTCGTTATCAACGTCATGATATCAGGCATTTGAAGTTCAGATTCGTATCTCAGATAGTTTATATCATGTGTACTACCATCGTGTGAAGCAACATCATCGACCACAGCAAGTCTGGACATACTAGGTATCAATTGGTTTTCTTCATCATGCTGTATCAGTTTGTTTGTTTTCATATCCTGTAGTTCTATACTTGGTACAGTTTCTCTTGGATTCTCGCACCCACGACCAACAACAGCAGGGAAATAGCAATTCTCCTTGGTACATTCGTTATGACTTGTGACTTCATGGTCATGCTTTTTTTCGAATACACACCCGTTCACAAGTCTCTGTTCATGGTGTTCAGTACTGACGTTAATAAATGTGTTACTTGCATTTTTAGGTTTGGTAGAACATTCCATTTTTGATTTCAAAGTCATAGGTGAACTATATACTGCAGCTTCTGTTCCCATTCCATTGATTTTATCGACGACGAGGGGTTCATTCAAAATTGGATTACCCTCAGAATTTCTTGATATCGGGAGCTCAGCCATCGTAAAACAATCTTCATTAGAAAGAAATGTACTTGGTGTATTTACCAAACTAGAATAAATGTTAATTGTGAATAACTGTTTTCATAACGGAATAATTCTCCCTCGATATCGGTCTCTCTCATCACATCAACATTTCCAATCGTCCGCCATCTTGCTTGACACAGTCCGGCGAACTACATTTGTGCCATCAATACGCAGTCACTATAACGCCAAAACATGTGATTTTATTTAGCAAACACAATTACGACGTTATTGGATTAAAATTATAGTAAATCCTAAACATGTATTCTGCCCTTATTTCTAAAGCAAATAAACAATTGTGCTGAACTATTTACCGGAAGTTGGAATGAAAATGTTTGTCATGGTGTTGGATGGTTCACTTCCGGTTTGAAGCGGGCGCACCATCGAGCAAGTTGTTATACAGTAGAGATTCAATGTGAAAGTCGTCGTAAACACATTTGCGGTGGTTGTGAACACTTTGTTTTTTTTTCAAATTAGTGACAAGTTACAAACAAAAAATATTTACTGGTAAGTATTGCTGGGAGCAGTATTTGTGTGTGTGGGGTGTTGATTGGTCAAGTTCTGATTAGAAATTGAACTTAGAAGGTTACCTCCATGCACAAGGAAAGCAATGAACAAAATCGTAACCTTAAAAATATTGGAGATATTTTTGTGAACCCAGTTTTATAGTAATAGCGATTCTCTGCTAATTCGCTTGAAAAATATTAGTGATTTTCGCATTACCATTTGTTATTTCTGTACAAACCGTACACGAAGCTGGCCTGGAGAAAGTGGATAAACTATTTTCTCTTTATTGTAGTATTTTTTTACCATACATTACCCACAAATGGTAATTGGTGAGTAATAAAGTTATTATTATTATTATATCTTCTCTGTAACACAAATCAGATAGAAGATGAACAACATTGTGATGTTTGCCCTGTCTATTTATGGAAGCAAGGGAAATTTCAATAAAGTAAACCACGTCACTGGTAGCATAGTGGTTGTTGCATCAGACTCATGATCGGTAGACCCAAGTTCAAATCCTACCTTAGGCTGAACACCAAAACGGGTTGACCCCTACCCTGGGTTAGTGTGCCACAGACTCAATGGGAAGGCCAATTCCACTGGCCGAGATGCATTCACTAATGAATGTGACTTTGGTTAAGGTTCGTAGGTTCTTGTGTTCGACCGAGCCTGGTTAACACCAGGATAGTGCATTAAATTGCCATTTGATAGAGAGAAGGCCGCACAGCCCTGTCATGTAGTCTCAAACATAAATATGACTTCTGTGGCTAAAAAGCACTATGTCAGTACTAGCACTTGCTACTTTACATACAAAAAAATCAGGAGAGGCAAAAGAAAACAAAAACAGGACAACAAATTTAGATTTAACTTAAGCAATGAATCCCTGTCAATTCCTTTAGAACAATATTTGCGAATCTGTTTTGAATCCAGATAGCAACACCTCCAACACCTAATGACCTTCAAAATTTTTGGAGTTTCTGCTACTTTCATTTTTTACTTTCATTGCTTTTTCTGTGTATGTGTATTTGTTTTATCATGTCATTTTTCATGTTTTGTTTTTTTGTATATATCATCCATTCCAATGGATGTTGAATGATTAAATAAAATAAATAAATAAATAAAAATACTGTCAAACATCATACAATTTGCCAAATTACTGAGTTGATGAGATGTTAGAGTAAGCAACCTGTGACACATGCTGTGTTTGGCTGCTGGTCCTGCAATACTTGAGCATGATTTGCTTAGTAGTTGGTCAGATAATATAGTTGATGGGTATGCTTTGAAGCTTTACTACACTATGTTTCCTTAGCCATTCATCTAGATGATCCATCTAACCACTCTGGTATCATGAATGACTAATTTCCTGCTTTAGTCTTGTCTATGACATGTCTTCATATTTTCTACAGAATGAGGCAGAATGTCTACTTTTTTAAAGTCTGAAGAACGCAAGAGTTGCTGGGAAGCAAAGGATAACTACTTTACCTGTTTGTCTAACAACAACGAAGATCAATCAAAATGTCAAGAACTGAAAAAGCTGTTTGAATGTAAATGTCCCAATACATGGGTATGTTATTATTAAAAATAGAATCAATTGATGAAGCTCTTGTATCTTCAACCAATGTTGTAATCCAAAACTTTGCATAACTGTGTTCTCTTGGTTGATCTATCATGTTATTAAGGGATTTGTCAAAATGTCTTAATAAGTAGTGATTTTCCCATTATCAATACTTAGGGATGTTACACCCAGAGCCCATGGGAACAGTGCTGCAAATAAACTCGCAAAATTGCTTTGTGTCGCTTTTCAACAAGATGGTCAAAGAAATTGTTCCTGATAATGTCCCCAAAACGGTGCAAGGTAGAAATTGCACAGTGGAAATGGCACACTTTCTTGTTGCAAGACATGATCATACAAATAATAACAAGGACGTTTTTCTTTTTTTTACCACTTTTCATCAATTTTATCAAGGCTGATCTTACACCAGACCTTTTGGCCACATATTTATTCACCTTATATAACAAGCATGATTCATGAAATATTTAATGTTTACTTTTAACTTTTATGTATACTGTTATATTTATATTTATTTTATTTATCATCATAAATACACCATGCTTTTTTACTTCAGTGTGCGAAGCAAACAATGGGAGTCTTTGCGGTTGTCTGTATGTCTGTCTACCAGTATTAGACTTATTGTTCATGGTGTATGGTATCGTAGTTGTCCGGTAAGCGCCCCAGGACCTGAACGTGAAAAATTGCCAAAAAATAGGGGTGGGCGTATGCCTGGACAACCCCTGTAAAAAAAACGAAAATTTACAACACGCAGATCGAACTGCAGCAGGAAATAGAATAGCAAATGAAAACATGCAATAGAAATAAATGAACAATATGCAACATTAGAAGTATAACAAAAATAATTTATTGCTTATAATATGACAAACAAACCAGAAATAATAAAAATCTACAGTGAGGAAACAGTTAGGATTTCCCCGCCGCAAACACTCCCAATACGTGTGAACGCAAAATGAATTTAAAATTTGAGGGGTTAATTTACGATTTTACACAGTAAAAATAACAAAAGTTCATAGTTGTTCTCAGATTTCTATTTGTACGTTCATTGCCATTTTCCTCAAAGTTAAAACCCTCAAAGTCTAAGTCGGCATCACTGTCGCTGTCCAACAAAATCCCTACAGTTTCGTTCTGAAGTTCGTTGATGTTGTCGCACACAATTTGGACTCAGCAATTTGAATCCACGGATTTCGCTGTCTGTTAGCTTGGCATATCTAATCATAATAAAGAGACAAGGAATACACTATACTAGTGTTAGAGGTCTAGTCAACGGCATGACATTGCAAAATTG